TGAGAGGCTTCCCAAACATAGCGCATGCCTGGCGAACTGAGGACTTCACAAAGCAGACCGTGCATGGCCACATTCTTCAAGCTAATTTCCTGGGTCGTGCTGGTGACTTCTCAACCGGCTACAAGGAGATCCGCAGAGGCACACAGACGCGGCACTTTGAAGGTGGCAGCCTGGGCGGGGTCAACTGCCAAGGAGAAAACTGCACGTTGTCGTCTCAGAACGTGTATTTTGGGTTTACTGGTCAGGAGGAGAAATGCTGCCAGGAGCAAAGCCAAGAGACAACAGTCCACTCTGGCAGCCAGGAGGTTCTGTGGCAAACTGCTGGGCTGGAGAGATCCATGATAACTGGACAAGTTAAGTTGGGCTCCGCTAAGCGGACCACGGGAAGTTTTCTGATGTTGTCTGAGGTGACGGGACGCGACGGCGACATCACAGACCATGGGATGACTTTTCACGATGAGGCTTCCACAAAGCATGTTCTTACCGCAGGTGAATCGACGCTGAACATGTCCGGCTGGCAGGCGGCTAAGCTACAAGCGGCCCTCTCCGGCAGGTCCCGGAATCTTCTCCTGCCATCCTCCTCCGCAGCCTCCACAGCAGCGGATACCCAAGCAGTCTTTCAGGAGGCAGACATAAACCCGCTTGGTGTGAAGAAGTTTGCCGACAGCATTGAACGACGGGTAGAAGAAGCTGCCACGAATGCTCCCACAAGCAATCTGTTTCAGGATGCTAAGAAACTGATAGATAGCAAAAACCAGAGTGATATGCTCCTCAAGGACAATCAGAAAGCTTTGATGGAGAAAGGTTTTGGCATCTCTGCCCGGCGTGCTCACATAGCTATTGAGCGAGGGCATGAAGCAGGCTACAAGGTCTTGGCCACCAGGGGTGCTGAAGAAATTGGGCATGGCAAGATCTCCTCTTCAGAGACTTCGGGTTCAACTTCTCATACCCTGGATGTGATGGGGACTCACCAGCACGTGAAGCTGGATGCATACGGTTTGGCAGAGATGTCAACATGCTACGGCCAATCTCGTGACGTTGTGACTACGAGCGATACACATCCACAGCATTCGGATTTCTGGTCGTCCTCCAAGGGACATATGACCTCCAAGACTGAGGAGCAGATAGATGGTGTTATCCGATCCATCAATGTGGCTGGTCGCGCGCGAAAGGGTGTTACTTCAGGCAATCTCCTGCAACGCTTCACTGCGCAGGGCGAGTCCCACGAACGTTCCTGGGGATTCTTCACCAAGGAGAAGCTCATAAACGTTGTTGAAGAGCGTTCAGGTACGGTGGAGAATGGTGAGAGGTCCCTGCAATTGGGCTCCCAAAAAGGGTTGCAAGAGGAAAGCAGGTCTTGCCTCGTTGACTACCGCCGCAAGGTTGTGCGGCTTGACAGTGGCAGTGGCAGCGCCACTGTGAGTGATGAGGGGCTATTCCTGCGAACCGAGCAATCTGGCAAGGGATATTACGATCGCACAAAAGAAGAAATTGTGCTTGAAGAGGGTTCGGAAAAAGAGGCCGGGGCTCAGATGAAGACGAGCCTTTCATCACACTCTTGCCAGGGCGTCGCAGGAGGGGTTGGAGCTGTGTTTCGGCACGTCCTGAACGGAGGCGAGCTCGACAAAGAGTGTGCCAAAGCAGCTGCAAAGAGTGCTGCATACTCATGGGGCATGTCAGTTCTCACCCAGACCTGTGAGCGGCGAGTGGCTGGGAGTGGATCCGCTTGTTTTGCCGTTATCAATGCAGCCCAACAATCATTGGCTGCCTTGCGAGACCCCACAAAGACGAGGATGGCTAAGACCGGAGGTTGCCGGAAATGCCTCAAAAGCCATGGTAGTTTGGGGTGCGCTGCGAGCTTGCTCGAAGAAGATGATGGTTTCAAGCGCAAGTGTCATTGTGCCTGTGGTTGAGATTGGTGCAGAAGCAGTTCGCAGCATCTATCTCTACATGAAGGACGAGATCAGTTGGAATCGCCTGATGTGCAATTTAGGGCATGCTGGAGCTGCGGGCGCCGCCACAGGCCTTTTTGGCTGGCTTGGCGGCTCCGGGGGCTTCATGCTCGGAGGACCCTTAGGGGCTGCCGTTGGAGCTGTGGTTGGTGGCGCTCTCGGTGACTGGCTTTCTTCTCGGCCAAGACTCAAAGACTTCATTCGTGGCCTTGCAGGGGCGACCGATGATGAGAAGCTGGAGAGAGCATACGTTTTCCTTGGTCGGGAGTCTGGGTTGGAGCCTCTAAGACCAAAGCAGGGCAACTACGACCATATCACTGAGATGGAAATCAACCAGTACTACAGAGCTGCCAGCAGAAGGCTTCATCCTGAAAAGCATGCCGGCCCGGAGAAGCTGGACTATGAAGCTAAGCTCCGTGGCGCATCCTATAGGGGCTCAGTTAGTTAGAGTACGCCTTCCGCATATATCTATGGGTGTGTGCATTTGTGACTGAGTTATATTGATACAGGGATTATGGGGGCATAATTGTAAACGATAGCATGTGTTCGCCTCGGCACCCATGCTAACTGGGCGTATGGCTAAGGGCAGAGGTCTTAACGGAGCGAGCTTGAGGCTGCGGAGGGTTCTTCTCACGGCCTCTAGGTTTCTTCTGGACCCGTCGTCAGCAGAAGCTAAGCAATGCAGCAATGTTTGTGAAATTGAAGCTGAGCCGTCAGTTTTGCTTGCATGTGGTCCAGGTTTCAACAGCTGCAGGTCTACCTTGGTATCATTAGAACCGACAAGGAGAAGCGGCGTAAGGAGAAGACGTTTGCAGAGCATGGCCTCGGACAGGCTGATATTGAAAGAGCTCTTGGCATGGATGAGACTGAGGCTGGTGCCTATGCTGCGAAAGAGCCCTGCGAGAGGATTGTGGTTTTGGTTGCCTACTTGGCCGAGTTCCACAATGGAACGCAGCTGGAAGAGCTGGTCAAGCTGGAGGATGAAGCAGGTGCCTTGCTCAAGGACGCTCGCCTGCCTTTTTGTGCATGGGGGAACATACCCGCAGCGTGGATGCAGCAAAGCATGCAGTAAAGTATACAATGGAACAGGAAGTACTGTCAGAATATCCTTGTTTCAATGAGCAGCACAAGCTTCAAAGTTTCTAAGCTCTTCAAATAGTGGGCATGAGAGACTGAGCTGCGTTGATTGCATTGCACAGTCAAGAGTTAAGAGAAGCCCAGAGATTCGCAAAGGACAAAGCACATGTGCTGCTTGGGATCGAACCTTGCCCAACCGCCTGCAAGATCGACGAAGCGAAGCGCTTGTGCCTGCTTTGGGCATACGGTCGGAAAGACGCGCATGCATCTCAAGCTGTGACAGGTGCTGGGGCAGATTCCAAAGTTGCGCAGAAAGGGTACTGTATGTGTGCATGGGCATGCGTGGTCAGTGGTAGACGTTTTACGATCGCTCACGTGCTGCAAGGTGCGGTCGAGTTCTTGCAGGATCAATCAAAGCGTTCCTCCAATGGCGCGCAGGAGCGTCAGCTGGATGTATGCAGACAGACGGCCCGCGTTAGAAACTTTGGTGCTGACGGCGTGAAGAGTACCGAGGAGCCATTTTGCGCAAAGTTGATCGATTGGTGTCTGATCTTTGGTCTTACTACAATGAGCTTCATGAGCATTACTACAACCGTTGCCACTAATGGTACTATCTTTCATTGTAATTCATCACTAACTATGCTTGTCACTCTTGCCTGACGCAATCTGACACGCTGCTTGTAGCAAGCGCTGCTGTGCTCCTGCTGGATACTTATCTCTTGGCAGGACCCGAAGCCAGAGTTGGTCGGGTGCTTCTCCCGCTGTTGTAAGGCAGTGAGGGATAGGCAGCAGCAGATAGAGAAGCTGCAGATTCAGATTGCCTACTTCCACAAAGTGGACAAAAGTCTCGTGGACCAACCGAAGCTCATAGGACACGTGCCGGGGGCAGTGGCTGAGTTGAAGAGCTCTCTTCCAATTGATGGAGATTTGAATTTGCCAAAACTTCGCCAAATCCTCCAGAGCTTGGAGCAGAAGATCATGCCTGGCATCAGAGCTGACGTGGAGAGGGGTGCCGTGGAGAATTTGGGAGACCCCGCCTGGCTCATCAACGTGGCGGCCCTGATCGACCCCGCAGAGGTGCAGAAGTGTTGGCAACAGCAGCTCCTGTCGCCACTGTATGCAATTGTCAGCACTCAAGGCAAAACTTGCGGAGCGGATGCTGAAGCCGCTGCTGTTTGCGATGCCTTCGCAGCAGCTGTTGCTGGTTCTGCCCACAGCTGGTATGCGCAGCTGGACCAGGCATTGCAAGGTTGTCGCCAAAGAGGTCGAGGAGGAATACATCGGTGCGGCGGAGCCATGGCTTCTCATGGATGTTCCTCGACTGGCACAGGCGGCCTGTCAATTCCTGAACGTGGATTTCTCTGTGGATAGGGCCGGCGAAGCTGTCCAGAAGGTACAGACACAACTTCAGGTCATGCAGCTGCTTCACTTCGAGAAGTCAGAAGATGCGATTGCCAAGGCAGGCATGGCTTGTCAAATTGTGGAAGCATGTGCAGATTTGCTTCAGGGCCAGCAGTCAGGCCTGGGGTCAGGCACACAGGCAGATGACAGCGTGCGGATTGTTGACGAAGATGGCGATGAGGCTGATGAGTTCTTCATCATGGATGAGGAGTGTGTTCATAGTGGGTCGGCCGCCCAGAATGCTCACGGATCCAGCACGCAGATGGATCGCTTTGCTACAAGTCAGAAGCAGCTCTCGCGCTGCGTTGAGCTTCTCCGCATCATCGACCAGTCCGGTGTTTCGAAGCCGTTGCTGCCGAGGCCTTGGTGCCTAGAAAGTTTACAAAGTTCTCAGATACACAGCCCAGACTAGCTGATGGCTAGGGCAGTTGCAACTCCCTCCTTCTGTGTCGCCGGATGTTCGCCTCTGATGGACTGCTATGCCTGTAATTATAGCATGTCCACCTTTTTTCTCCTTTTTGTGATTTGCTCCTGTTTGCCTCTTTCTACCCTCCCATGGCCAAATTATGCATGTGTCTGTGTTGCGTGTGTTCGTTTAATCTCTCAGCAGTCTTGCCCGAAACCAGGCTCTCGACGCATGCTGTCCGGAGCAGGGCGGAGCACTTCCTTGTTGCGTTCGGCCACGAAGTCAGCATCCGGCTTGTAACCAGTGCCTGGGTCGAGGACGAACTCTTGGGCCTTCTGCAAGATGTTCAGCATTCTCTTGAGCTTCCTCCAGGACTGCCCGCGCACCATCGCAGACTTGCCTTCATCGTTTTGTTTTACAACCCTCTGGGCCGTCACTGTGCGTCCAAGAGCTGTGTAGGTCATGCATGTTTACGCTTTGGTTGCTCCGTGCGGTGCAGTTTTATCACCTACTTTCCTGTAATATCTCGTAAGACCGCCCTACTTCACAGCCCGCTCCAGGAATCCCAGCAATGAAGCCTGAGACATCATGCGCGGCACCTCCTGATCTTTCAGATGGCATTCGCTTGCTCGGGATCTTGGGCATACTGAGCCCCGATGACCTTGTTTGCCTCCTGCAGAAGTTGGTGCTGACTCCCATCCATGTCACTGCTGCAGCTGCCTTGAACAAATCTCCCTCCGGGTTGGCGTCCATGGAGAGAATCTCAAAGGCATGTGATGCAGTTTGCGCAAGACTTTGCAAGGGACATTCTTCGGTCGACCCGCAGAGGAGTTTCTGCAGCAAAAGCTGCCCCCCTGAGCCCCAAGACAGCACTGCCACCCTAGTGGTTGCACATGGATATGCCGCATGGCATATTCAAGTAGCAGCATTTGCTGTGGGTGTCACAGAGTCGGCACCGCCCGCACCGGTCTTTACAGATGAGTCTCAGTCCGCCTGGTTCTCTGATGCCAAAGAGTCCTTGCCCCGAATTGAGCGAGAGCTGCTGATGACCTTATGTTTGCATAGGGATCTGCAACTGTCAATGGGCGCTGCCAGTCACCTTTCCAAACTCTGGAGGCTTTTCAAAAACTCATTGGACTGCATGCATGCTTCGCATGATGCTGCCAGTGGATTCTTGAGCCTGCTTTGCAGTGCTGACGGCATTCCAACTTGGCTTGATCTTCTCCATTGGCTACGTGATGAAGGCCCAATGCCGACTATATCCAGGCCATGGCTATGGAGTAAGCTGCAATGTGGATTGCACGATCTTCTTCAGGAGGTCACACCGTATCTGGAAGAAGCTATGGCATCCTCAGTTGCAGACTTAAAGCGCGAGGAATGGGGCGCTTTTGAGTCAGACATCTTATCTGCGCTCGAGCGACAAGTACGGTGCGGACTGCCAGATGACCGGCATGCAGATTGGCAGCCCGCAGGGGATGACCTGCAGCGGCTGATGGCCGCTTCCCTTCTTTGCGATGCTGACGGCTGCGTATCGGTCTTGCGCCGTTCCCTGGCAACCTAGCCGCATGAAGCTTGACATGCTTCTTTCCACCCAACACATCCTAACACCAGTTTTACACAGGCAAGCTTGCTTTGTCAGATCGAGTCAGGTAACTCCTGTGCACCTACGCTTGCTTGCGGCGGCACCGCCTAGCCACAAGGCTAGCCTGGCCGCGAAGCTGGGTTGCTGTTAAGGAACCTAGTCTAAGATACCATATTAAGATACCATAGTATGGGTATATAGTAAATGTTTGGGTTTCCTTCTTATAGTATCTTAGTTTAAGTTCAATAACCGCAACCCAGTTGAACAGGTTTCCGAGTTTCCCATTCCCTTTACTGGTAGTCTGCCGGGAAAAACTCTTGTTTTTGCACTGAATGAGAGCTTAGGAAATGTGACCACTTGGTGCAAGCTGCCAGTCACTTGTCCAGCACATCTAAGCCATGTCCTTGACGTTGCAGATCAACAGAAGAACTTGCAAGATTGTGCCGTAGCAGGTCCCAGAGCCACGCCTTTTCCTGCATCCGACATGGACAGCACGGGGTTTACCAGGTAGCAGCTAGCACACATCATGGCACCACCATGACTGACTGAGCTAATTCCGGCATTATCTCGTGAATCTTTGCGCCTTTATGTTTGGTTCGGCAGGCCGTAGGTTGCTGTCCCGTTTTCTCTTGCGCCTGCAAGGAAATGTCTGACAACTGTTTGCTGCTTTTTTCCATTGGGTGGAATTGCAGAGCCTAGGGTTCAGGGCCCCCCACAAAGCAGCTCAACTGCAGGTGGCAAGCCCAGTCTCTTCTACTCCAAAGTCAACGACAACTTGGTCGATTCTCAGCAAGATGAAGGTTGCGAGCCTCAATGGATCCGGGAGTACGCGGAATGCATGGATGAGGAACTCCGTGCCCACATTGTTGAGCCGGAACACTTGAGACAGAACCTTTTTGGTGACTAGTCCGGGGCTTGCCTGGCTAAGTATAGTGGGATGCCAGTAGTGCACATGGCTGGCAGAACATGCAAACGTGCAATGGCAAGCCTCATCAAGGCCTCTCAGCTGCAGCCGGTTGCGCAAGCTTCCTTACCCACCCATATGCGCCCTCAAATTGTGGCTTGTATGCAAGACAGGGGGTGTTCTTTCTGGGAAGTCTTGCAACTTCCAGGCTGCTGTTGCTATGCATAGATTCTAGACAACGCGTCTTTGCTTATGGCATAGCAGACGCTTCCTTTGAAGTCATCTATCGAGTCTATACATTATGCCTAGTTCAGTCTGTCACCTCAAGGTGCTGCCCAAGTAAATTCCATCTCTGAGGTGCCTCTTCCCTGATGATACACGGCGGCATGGTCGAGCCATCTGAGAGTCTTGGCTGTGTAAGCCTTCAGGCTTGACATCTTTCGGATGGAGGAAATCTTGCACCACCGATATTCCTTGCATCTCAATAATTACAATACTTTTGGGGATCCCAAGTGGTGCAAGATTTCGTCCATCCATCCTCTCTGAGTGTCCTACAGTTTTCAATTAAGGGTGCAAAGCCCTCAAAACGACGCTCCAGTCAACTGAGGACTGAGCTACAACACCGAGCTCTTCAGCATGCAAACTAAGCTCCATCTCACGTGCTGTTGTGCTGTCAGATTAGAGGGTGGCAGGCAAAATCAATAAGGCAAGTCTGGCGAGCATCCTAGACGTCTGCTTCCGCGTCTTCCATTGGCTCGACGGTGGCCTCCACGCTTCGCCTGTGCAGGCTTTATCAGACCTGATGCGCTTTCGAGCCTGGTATCCACAAGGCTGCACAAGCTACCTCCTGTGCGATCCTGAACACCTCCTGCATCAGTTGTGTGATATGGCAAAGGAGGCTTTGGCCAACATCAGGCAGCTCGCCCTGCGCGCCTGCGGCAATCCAATCGCAGAAGAGTTTGCGCATCCTGTCGTTGCCTTCTTGCGAAGCAAGCTGATCCTCATCTCTGATGAAGATGCTTGGAAGTCGAATTCAGGATTTTGGGCTCTCGCCTGCCTACAGCAGACACACGCGCCGCTCTATTAGCAGCTCGTATGTCAAGAGCTGCTGATTCCGGTCCACCTGTTCCTGAAGAGCTTCATGGGTAACATGAATGAAAGGGCGTATCTCAAAGTATCCCGTGAGTTTGACCAGCTTCTCTCAGAGTTCTTTGGCGACCTGTCTCTCCACCGCTTCCTGTATGTTGCTAGGCAAACCCTGGATACTGGCTTGCTGTTAAGGAATTTGAATTCTGTTACCGTAATATGGGTGTGTGTATATACATGTGTATGTACGTAGGAAATAGTTGGTTTCCTTCTTATGGTAACTTAATTCAAGCTCCTTCACCGCAACCCAGGATACTATGACTGGCCGCCAATGCGAGAACGATCGTGACGTCTGGCTGGACAGCTACATCTCGGCTAACGAGCAATATGCTCCGACGATGCGAAACGACTTGACAAAGGCTGCAGAAGCCATCTTAGGACCGAGGTTTCATGTTGACTCCTTGGAAGCGGGAGCGAGTTGGGTCTTGGTCCAGAGTTCTTGATCCGTTTGGCTGTTGAATTCACAGATGGGACCCGTGGAAAATGGTCAAGACACCAGGGAATTCCGCTTGAGGGAGTTGAAGTTGTCTTAACTGAGCATGGCAGCCAGGACTCAGCCATATCTATGATGCAACTCGCATCGGTCGGGCAATGTGCAATGTGTGCTCCGCGGAATCGGATGCTCAACGTCTTGCAGGATGGCTTGCAGCGAAGTGGCTACTGAGCAGCAAAGTCGAGGAAAGCCTGCCGGTATAGATACCTATACAATGGTGGACATTCAGGTCGGTCAATTGAATACTGCAGTGTACTGTCCCACAGTCTGACTCGTCGGGATCTGCTTAGGGGCAGAGCTAATTCTGGTGCTGGATCGCATGGCAAACTGAAACTTCCAAGAAGCCCTATCATGACAAGAGATGGCAATGTTGTTGTAGTATGATGTGTTGATGTAAGCTTCTTGAAAACCCAGTTGGACGCGTCAAGGTTTTCCATAGTTTAGAGCAAATCCATGCGGCGGCGGTGATTCTGGAGTTTCTTTCATGTCCAGCTTGGCTGCGGCCTTGGCACAGCCCTGTCCCTGCAATCACACGCAAGTAGCGTGGACAAGGGGTTGTCAGGGCATTCCGAATTGTGCCGAAATGCCCAAGCTCCTTCGCACCTTAACAACGGTACAGGTGTCAAAGATTTCCAGCATGGTAAGGGCACTTCTCTCCGTGTCAACGGATTTCATCCAGCCCTAAAAAAAAACCTCAGATAATCCTATATAGCCCTTTCAAGGACCCCTATATAACTCCTTATGACCCGCATCCGCATAATTCCCTCCAAGGGAGCCGATCCTGTCTTGCCAGAATGAAGCGTAGCCAAGGTTGATGCAGACTTCGCCAGGCTGATTCTTTTTTGCCTGCTTTCCAGCCTTTCATTGTTGATGCGATGGATAAAACCTGACTTGAGCCTGCAAGCCAAGACCATATGAGCCATAATCTAAGACTCCCTAAAGGGGGCCATATAAGGGATTCTATAGGGGACTACTATGGATACTTGCAGTTTAGACTATAGCCTCATATGTTGCAGTATACCTGTAGTGGGATTTTGCTCATCAGCAGCCCTTCATCGAGCTCAGGCTCCTACTGTTTGAGGCCTTGTTGAAGATGACTTTGCTCATCCACTAGCATGCACTTATAGTCCCCTTTAAGTAGATAGAATGCGGGGTCTATATGGGGATCTTATTATAATATACCCGAAGCCATGTTCAGGGGGACTATACGTCCCCCCAAAAGAAGCATTCTTCATCCTTCAAGTCTGTTGATCTTGGCAGTCCGTCCCATACGCTAGCAGACTTGCACAGTGCAAGGAAGTGTTGAAGCCTTGCGCGATTGTAGCTAGGTCAAACTGACACGCAGACAGAGTGCAGGAGCTCCGCTTCAAGATTACAATTTGCTCCTCTTCACAGATCCCGGCTTTCTTGTCCGACCTCAAGGAGATCCAGGACATGGCGTGCGCCGAGTCGCCAAGGAACTCATCAATCCAAGGGCTGCGGACTGTTTGCAGATGTGGCGGCATACGGTGGACAGCTTGAAGAAGACAATCGGTGGAGAGCTTCATCTCCAGGACACGGAGCCACGCAGCCATTTCTACTTCAGGTTGAGAAGCTGTTTGTACGAGGTCTCAGATCCAAATTCATTTTGCATGGAACTAATGCTGGAGCCGTTGTACATGCCACTGACATCGCTCCGTTTTGGTTTCTGGGATTCAGCGATGTGTGCATCCCAACTGAACGAGCTTTGCTCTCTCATTATGCCTGACCCCGGCACGAAGTCCGGACGATTTGTGCGGCGGTTCTTCCTGGACCTTCTGGTCCCCCGCCAAATGTGTTGCAGAATCCACGCATTTTCCACTTCTTGCAGGGCTGTGGCACAAGACCTACAAGCCTTGAGGTGTGATTCTGTCGCCTTCTTTGCACAAAGCTCGACTGAGCTTCCTATTTGGCTTTCTGTGCTTTCTTTGATCTTGTGCTACCTGTGGGCACTCATTATTCTTTGGCCCTTGGACACACACTGCTCACATCCAACGAGCTGCACGGATCGTGCTGGTACGCAGGTCGTCCAGCAAAGCGAGATCACGCCATTGTTGGATTCCACAAGTATTTGCTGCGCCCGCGCAGTCATTTAGTATCATGACAATGAGATGCAAGGCTCTAACCTTACAAGCTGAATTTACAAGGCAAGCCAACCCATAAACCCCTGTATACCCCTATAAAGACCCATAAACCTTAGGTTCAGTGTACGAACTGGCATCTCTGCAAGGCTCGCGGAAGGATGGCTAACCAAGAGTAGATGCGGTTGCCACTTCTTTTGCTAGCTGCTTGGTTCGGAGTGCCGCAAGCATGACAAGCATGCTGGGCGCAAAGGGGTAACGACCTATGGAAGAAAATGGCTGTTTGCGGTGCCGCTGTGAATTGAAGGTGTGACTTTTCCAGCAGATTGATCTCTCTCCGCAATTCTCCTCATCGCTTGCAAATTTGCATGATCTACAGTGCTTGGCAGAAACAGCTGTGCCGACGATAGCGACGGACACTCCCAAAGCACGCATTCTTCCCAGTGGTGAATGGAACCAGCAAGTAGCAACTGCAACAGAGCTTTGGTCGGACGGCCCACCCATCTGGG